TCGGACCCTGGGACCCCGGGACCCCGGGACCCCGGGACCCGACGTCCTTTTATGGGCCGGGGCCGAGCACGGACCAGTGGTCGAGACCCGCACCTTGGCTGGGTCGGGTCAGCATAGCCTCCCCGAGGCCACCCTTAGTCGGAGGACTCAGAGCCCGTAGCCCCAGTGATAGGGCACGTTAGCCCGGAGGCCATACCTCCCCAAGTAGTGGGAGTAAAATGGGCTTCTATTATAAGATTTAAATAAACCGTGTTGCCTCTAAGCTACGTCTCCAGTCTCCGTGGGAACCCACTACATATACACAAGAAATGCTGTTCTACACATAACGGCCATGCCACGTTTCAGTTCAAAGTAACGCTGCAGTACGTGCACAGGCTATGCTCCTTTACACATACTCTGTATTATACGGCACACACTTTTATGGTGCTGTATACACGGTATATGATGTGTTACACATAGGCCATGCTGTATTATAAACTCCGTGCAAAGTATCAGTTTATACGTAGCCAATGTCACTGTACAAAGACAAAGATCCCCCTCATAGCCTTAACATATTTTTGAGGCAAGTGGTGTTAGTGAGGACCTAATGAGGACTGGCACAGTACACAGGGGAGTGGGTAGCCAACACCACGCCCAGCCGCATTTGTCTCCCTCGTGGTGATGTGTACACACTGCATCAGGTACTCATTTGAGGCTGAGTCGACCAATGGGAGGCCCAGGACTGGTTCAGATATTTCCCACTGTTATACCGGTAGGAACAACAGGTTCCACACTGCCCACCAGGGATTATTTGTCTGTCGTGCATATGGGGAGGGGAGGGTGGGGCTGGGTGGGGAGGGTGGGGAGGGGCTGGGGGAGGAGGGGATGGTGGGGAGGGGCTGGGTGGGGAGGGTGGGGTTGGGTGGGGGGTGGGAGGGGTGGGGCTGGGTGGGGAGGGGCTGGTCACCCCGTCGTGCCCTTATAAAACTCAACGTTTAACCTACACACTACACTATACACTACACGATACACTACACTTATACAAGTGTAGTGAGTTCTCAGGGAGACAGACGACGTAGTTGAGGCACACTCTTTTATTTAACCAAAAGGCGGTAACATTACTTGAAGGGGTAACGACCCCTTCACCCGTACTCAATGGGAAACACCCCTAGCACTATCCCCTGACTTCTATTCCCAGTCCTCCGCTATGAGTGCTAGGGGAGGCTATCTGATCCGGCCCTGGTCAAGCACGGATCCCGGCACCCAGCTAACCAGGCCGTGCTCTTGCAAGAGCAGCGGTCCTCGAGCTCTTGGGGCCGCGCCACTTGCCCTGCTCGGCCCTGACAAGGACAGCGAGCCAGGGGAGTTCCAGGGCCTATTCTGCCGGTCTTCAGTCTTCACGGGTAAGCTTCTCACACACGGCCTCGAGCTCTCTGGCTCCCCGACTTTTATAAGAATCCTCTCCGAGGGGTGGGGCTATGGGGGATCACAACGCCCCCATGCCCCCCCAGGGTTAACCGATGCGGACGTGGATGTAGACACCCGTGTGTGGGTCCAGACACCCTTGTGTTTCTGTCCACCTTTCTTCCCGTAACAACCCCTACATTTGTATTTAGTGTTGAAAAACTGGCAGGATTTTACGTACTTTGTGCTTATTAAATCCTTTATATTAAGTTAACTTGCTTGCTTGCTTGCGTGCTTGCGTGCTTGCTTGCTTGCAACCGTGTAAATCTTTCGGTCGTTTTTTAACCCACTTCCCGTGATCCAATCGAGCTGACATTTTGCACACAGACTCGTTGTGCGTGACAATTAATTTTCGTGAAAACATTTTTCCAAAATTTTACACTGTGTAGGGAATTTTTAAAAAATATTTATTTACCAATTGCTTAATGGTGGCAGACAATCATCTGACCCATAGGTGGCAGCCATCTCAAGCCAGAGGACGAGAGGACTCTAGCCGCCACGCATATAAAGGATTTAGAGTGAAAAACTTTGTTTTTACGGGTTAATTTTTATGCTCAGTTATTTTGTGACTTGCTTACATTTTTACACGTTGCACTAATTTTCTTTTGTTTGTTGTTGTAACTTGCTGACCCTGTGCCTCGACTGCAAATCTGTGAAAGAAGAGCTTCATAGCTTATCGGATTCCTCTTCATCCAGTCTAAATAATTTATTCTGATTTTGGAAACCAATGCAGAATAAAACGGGGGGGGGGGGGAGGTAGAACACACTCCACATTCCACATGGAGAAAGTGGCCCAAGTTTGGGCATCAAACCCAGGTCCCTCTGTGAGTTCCAGCCCTGCCACCTGCCAACGAACACATGTACAGTTCAAACCCCACGTGTACATTCGGTTATATACGGATGTATTTTTATAATTGGTTTCTGGGTGAGGACAAATAATGAAGCAGCCATATCTTTGCTATGTAGCCTTTCATCCAGTGTGATATCGCCAGACTGATGCCCATTTTGTAACCAGACCCACGATGGGCAAAGGTATGCTGCGTTACTGCAGCATCGTTATTAACCTGGTTAATCTATCTCCGCACGATGGTGGGGGGGGGGGGGGGTGGGAGTGCGATCTCTGCTATAGCAGGAAGTTGGAACGGTGTCGTGCGCATCTATTTACAGAGCGGAGCCGGCGCTGCCCCCATCCTCCGCGCTCGCCCAGGCCTCTAAATGGCTGACGGTTGTTGTGGAGGAAGAGGAGACTCCGGTGGAGGAGCTGTTGGTGCAGGAGGAGGAGACCCTGGTGGAGGAGCTGGTGGTGCAGGAGGAGGAGACCCTGGTGCAAGAGCTGGTGGTGCAGGAGGAGGAGATCCTGGTGGAGGAGGAGCTGGTGGTGCAGGAGGAGGAGACCCTGGTAGAAGAGCTGGTGGTGCAGGAAGAAGAGGAGATGAGGGGGGAGACAGAGGAGGTATGGACGAAGGAGCAGGAGGAGGAGATGGTGGTGCAGGTGGAGGAGACATTGGTGGAGAAGATGGTGGAGAAGGAGATGACAAGGAAAGAGGATCAGGCGATGGTGATGCAGGAGGAGAAGAGGAAGTGAGGGAGTCTGGCCCGCATAGGGAGAACCATCCGTTCACTCCTCCGACGCGTGCTGCTGCTGTGTGGTGGCCGGTCCACCACACAGTAGAGGTGGTGGTGGTCACGGATCGTTGTGAACCACGACCACTATCACCATACCCACCACACACACCCTGCACCCATTCACTCCCCTGTGATACCCACCACCCACCGCACACCACACACACCCTGCACCCACCCACCCCATGATCCCACCCCCACCACATTCCATAAAAAGGGTTAGGGGTTTAGAGGGTTAGGGATTTATAAAGTTAAGGGTTTAGAGGTTTCGGGTTATTTCAGGGATAAGGGGTTTAGGGATTTCGAGGGTTATAGGGTTTAGAGGTTGAGAGTGTTAGGGGTTGAGGGGATTCGAGAGTTAGGGGTTTAGAGGGTTAGGGATTTAAGGGTAAAGGGGTTTAGAGGATTAGGCTATTTGGGGTATAGAGGTTGAGAGTGTTTTAAGGGTGAAGGGTTTAGAGGTTTAGGGTTTTAGAGGGTTAGGGTTTTCAGGGTAAAGGGGTTTAAGGATAAAGGGGTTTAGAGGGTTAGGGGTTTATAGGGTTTTGGGTTTACAGTGAGGGAAAAAAGTATTTGATCCCCTGCTGATTTTGTAAGTTTTCCCACTGACAAAGAAATGATCAGTCTATAATTTTAATGGTAGGTTTATTTTAACAGTGAAAGACAGAATAACAACAACAAAATCCAGAAAAACGCATGTCAAAAAGTGTTATAACATGATTTGCATTTTAAATGAGGGAAATAAGTATTTGACCCCTCTGCAAAACATGACTTAGTACTTGGTGGCAAAACCCTTGTTGGAAATCACAGAGGTCAGACGTTTCTGTAGTTGGCCACCAGGTTTGCACACATCTCAGGAGGGATTTTGTCCCACTCCTCTTTGCAGATATTCTCCAAGTCATTAAGGTTTCGAGGCTGACGTTTGGCAACTCAAACCTTCAGCTCCCTCCACAGATTTTCTATGGGATTAAGGTTTGGAGACTGGCTAGGCCAGTCCAGGACCTTAATGTGCTTCTTCTTGAGCTACTCCTTTGTTGTCTTGGCCGTGTGTTTTGGGTTATTGTCATGCTGGAATACCCATCCATGACCCATTTTCAATGCCCTGGCTGAGGGAAGGAGGTTCTCACCCAAGATTTGACGGTACATGGCCCCGTCCATCGTCCCTTTGATGCGGTGAAGTTGTCCTGTCCCCTTAGCAGAAAAACACCCCCAAAGCATAATGTTTCCACCTCCATGTTTGACGGTGGGGATGGTGTTCTTGGGGTCATAGGCAGCATTCCTCTTCCTCCAAACACGGCGAGTTGAGTTGATGCCAAAGAGCTCCATTTTCGTCTCATCTGACCACAACACTTTTACCCAGTTGTCCTCTGAATCATTCAGATGTTCATTGGCAAACTTCAGATGGGCATGTATGTGCATTCTTGAGCAGAAGGACCTTGCGGGCGCTGCAGAATTCCAGTCCTTCACGGTGTAGTGTGTTACCAACTGTTTTCTTGGTGACTATGGTCCCAGCTGCCTTGAGATCATTGACAAGATCCTCCTGTGTAGTTCTGGGATGATTCCCCACCGTTCTCATGATCATTGCAACTCCACGAGGTGAGATCTTGCATGGAGCCCCAGGCCGAGGGAGATTGACAGTTATTTTGTGTTTCTTCCATTTGCGAATAATCACACCAACTGTTGTCACCTTCTCACCAAGCTGCTTGGCGATGGTCTTGTAGCCCATTCCAGCCTTGTGTAGGTCTACAATCTTATCCCTGACATCCTTGGAGAGCTCTTTGGTCTTGGCCTTGGTGGAGAGTTTGGAATCTGATTGATTGATTGCTTCTGTGAACAGGTGTCTTTTATACAGGTAACAAGCTGAGATTAGGAGCACTCCCTTTAAGAGTGTGCTCCTAATCTCAGCTCGTTACCTTTATAAAAGACACCTGGGAGCCAGAAATCTTTCTGATTGAGAGGGGGTCAAATACTTATTTCCCTCATTAAATGCCAATCAATTTATAACATTTTTGATATGCGTTTTCTGGATTTTGTTGTTGTTATTCTGTCTCTCACTGTTCAAACTAACCTACCATTAAAATTATAGACTGATCATTTCTTTGTCAGTGGGCAAACGTACAAAATCAGCAGGGGATCAAATACTTTTTTCCCTCGCTGTAAGGGTTTAGGTGAAGGGTTCAGTGGGTTAGAGGTTTGGGGGTTTATGGGTTAGGATTTTAAAGGGTGATGGGTTTAGACCGTTATGGTTTTAAGGGTAAGGGGGTTTTGAGAGTTGGGTTTTAGAAGGTCTACAATCTTGTCCCTGACATCCTTGGAGAGCTCTTTGGTCTTTGCCTTGGTGGAGAGTTTGGAATCTAGAGGTAAAACCTCTGACCTGACACGGGAGATTGAGAGGTAAAACCTCTGACCTGACACGGGATATTTAGAGGTAAAACCTCTGACCTGACATGAGAGATTGAGAGGTAAAACCTCTCACCTGACATGAGAGATATAGAGGTAAAACCTCTGACCTGACATGAGAGATTTAGAGGTAAAACCTTTGACCTGACATGAGAAATTTAGAGGTAAAACCTCTGACCTGACACGAGAGATTTAGAGGTAAAACCTCTGACCTGACACGAGAGATTTAGAGATAAAACCTCTGACCTGACATGAGAGATTTAGAGGTAAAACCTCTGACCTGACATGAGAGATTTAGAGGTAAAACCTCTGACCTGACATGAGAAATTTAGAGGTAAAACCTCTGACCTGACACGAGAGATTTAGAGGTAAAACCTCTGACCTGACACGAGAGATTTAGAGGTAAAACCTCTGACCTGACATGAGAGATTTAGAGATAAAACCTCTGACCTGACATGAGAGATTTAGAGATAAAACCTCTGACCTGACACGAGAGATTTAGAGGTAAAACCTCTGACCTGACACGAGAGATTTAGAGATAAACCCTCTGACCTGACATGAGAGATTTAGAGATAAACCCTCTGACCTGACACGAGAGATTTAGAGGTAAAACCTCTGACCTGACACGAGAGATTTAGAGATAAAACCTCTGAACTGACACGAGAGATTTAGAGGTAAAACCTCTGACCTGACACGAGAGATTTAGAGGTAAAACCTCTGAACTGACACGAGAGATTTAGAGGTAAAACCTCTGACCTGACACGGGAGATTGAGAGGGAAAACATCTGACCTGACACGAGAGATTTAGAGGTAAAACCTCTGAACTGACACGAGAGATTTAGAGATAAAACCTCTGAACTGACACGAGAGATTTAGAGGTAAAACCTCTGACCTGACACGAGAGATTTAGAGGTAAAACCTCTGAACTGACACGAGAGATTTAGAGGTAAAACCTCTGACCTGACACGAGAGGTATAGAGGTAAAACCTCTGAACTGACACGAGAGGTATAGAGGTAAAACCTATTCACCCACCCACGCAATCTCGAACCCACCAATTCACTCATCCTCTCACCAACCCACCTTCACCCACTCACGCGCTGCCCCACCCACTCACTCACCTCAACCATTCACAAACCCACCCACTCATTCACTCAATCACCCACCAACCACTCAATCTCTAAACCCATTCACCCACCCACCCACTCAGCCACCCACCCACTAACTCACCCAATCAATCTCTAACCCACTCACCTACCCACCCACTCACCCAGCCACTCGTCTATTCACTCTCACACAACACACCAACTCAAGACACCCATGACTTACCCTATCACCCACAATCTCTAACACACTCAGTCACCCACTTACCTACTCCCTCAACCACTGAGCCACACTCACAGACCCACCCACTCTATGTGTAGTCCTCACCTCTTCTGGTAATGTGAGATATTCTTCCTCCCAGCGGTATTTTACCCAGTAAGGCCCACTGAGCTATAAAGATTGTTTTCAGAAGCACCCTCGCCACAAATGATAGTTCAACAAAGTCGCTGTATACATTTATTGCACCCAATTACTCTTATTACATGTTTCTAAATGTGGAGTGAAATACACAGGCATCAGGGTTGGGATCGAACCACAACATTCTGTATAACAGGCAAGGTAGTTAACATCTTGCCACCGTGGCGCTCAATTCTTTGACTCACCCACTCAACTACTAAAGCCACCCACCAACCTACTAACCGACTCAAAAACCCACTCACCCTGCCACGCACTCAATTTCTAACCCACTCACTCAACCACTCATCCACGCACCCACCTACACACGCACTCACTAACTCACTCACCCAACAACCCACCCACCAACTCACCCACCCACTCACTGACCAACTCACGCACCAACCCACCCACTCACACTGTGACCTACTCCATATCTAACCCAACAACTCACTCACCCAGCCCCTCACCTACTAACCTAACCACCCACCAACTCACTCACCCACCTACGCACTCAAATACCCACTCACCCAACTGTAAACAAATATTTTTTTTACAAGGTAAGGCCCCCATAGCTATATAGATCTTATTCAGAAGCAACATGGCCACAAATGATGGCTTAACCAAGTGGATTATCACGTAGACATTTAAAGCATCCATATCCTCTAAATGCACGTTGATAAATATGGAGGGAAAACCCAGAGGACTCGGAGAAAAATCCATGAACCACGAGGAGAACATGCAATCTACAAATATACAGGCATCACGATCGAGACCGAACCCACAACCTCCTGTACAAAAGGTAAGGAAGGTAGTTAACATCTCGGCACCATGGGGCTCCACTCTCTGACTCGCAGCCACCCACTCACCTACCCATTCAGCCACCTACCCATTCAGCAACATACCCACTCAAAGACCCACCCACTAAAAAACCCACACACCTTTCTAACCACTTACCTACGCACCCACCTACACACCCACTCACTGACTCACTCCCTCAACAATTCATTCACCCATCCACTCACCATTTCACTCCCCCAATCATACACCCACCCATCCACCCACTCTATCTCTAACTCACACACTCACCAGTCCACCCACTCACCCAGCCACTTACCTACTCACTCACCCAGCCACCTACTCGACCTGCAACAGGCCTACCGACCCAACGAGCCACCTACCCCCTAAACTAAACTACTTTATACTAGGCGAAGCAGTGAACATCTCAGCACCTTGGCGCCTCACTCTCTGACTCACTCACACGCTAACTTACCCACTAAACCTCCCACATCAACTCACCCACCCACTCGCTGACCCCACTCAGTCAACAACTCACCCACCCACCCAACCACTCACTCAGTTAACCACTTGCTTACCCACCGATTCACCCTACGACCACTCACCAAGCTACACACTCACCTACCAACACACCCATTCACTCACTTGCTCACCCACCCACTTACTCGCCAACCACTAACTGACCCACTCACCCACCTACAAACTCACGAACAAAAAACACACCCACTCAACCCATCGCTCACCTAACCCCTCACTCATCCACTTACTCAATCACCCACCCACGCACTCACCGACCCACCAACTCACTTCACCCACCCAACACTCACCCAACCACCCACTCAATCTCTAAACCACACACCAACCCTGCTACTGAGAGAAAACCTGGAGGACCCGGATAGAAATCCACACGACCACAGGGAGAACATGCAAACTCCTTATATACAGGTGGAAGGGATGGGATCAAATTCACAAACTCCTGTATACTAGGTGAGGTAGTTAACATCTCACCACCGTGGTGCCTCACTCTTTGACTCACCCACCCACCCACCCAATCACACACTAACTCACCTGCTCAACCTTCGATATTCACTCACCCACCCACTAACTGACCCACCCACTAACTGACCCACCCACCCACTCACCCAACAATCTACTCACCCACCCACTCACCTATTCACTCATTCACTCAACCCCTCACTCACCCACTCCCCCACACAATCACGCACTGACCTACCCGCCCACCCACACAGTCACTCACTAATTCACCCACTCACTCAACCATCCACCCACTCATGCTCCCATCCACTCACTTATCCAGGCACTCACCTACTTACTCATCCATTAAGCCACTCACCCACTCACCCACCCAATCACCTAGTTACCCACACACTCAATCTCTAACCCACCAATTTACTCATCCACTCACCAGCCCACCTCTCACCCACTCAATCACTTCAAACCATTCACTCACCCACCCACTAATTCACACAATCACCCACCACCCACTCAATCTCTAACCCACACCCACCTACTCACTCACCCAACGACTCACTCAACAATTCACTCAAATTCAACACACCCACTTCTCTAACACACTCACTCACCTACTCCCTCAACCACTCACTCACCTACTCCCTCAACCACTCCCTCACCTACTCCCTCAACCACTGACCCACCTACTCCCTCAACCACTGACCCACCTACTCCCTCAACCACTGACCCACCTACTCCCTCAACCATTGACCCACCTACTCGCTCAACCACTGACCCACCGACTCCCTCAACCACTGACCCACCTACTCCCTCAACCACTGACCCACCGACTCACCCACCGACTCACCCACCGACTCACCCACCGACTCACCCACCGACTCACCCACCGACTCACCCACCGACTCACCCACCGACTCACCCACCGACTCACCCACCGACTCACCCACCGACTCACCCACCGACTCACCCACCGACTCACCCACCGACTCACCCAGTTAATCACCCACTAGTGGAGTCCTCACCTCTTCCAGTATTGTGAGATATTCTTCCTCCCAGCGGTATCTTCACAACAACGCCCGGTGGGGTGGGCAAGCCTCTCAACGAGCCGGGCGAGCGGGGCAACAGTCTGGTCATGTTGGGTTCATAGCGCAGTGCGGCACACACATACACACAAGCAGACCACACACATATGAACACAATAACAACATTGGGAGCCACTCACGCGATAGGGATGGGCCGCATGGTCCACTCCAGCTCGATGTACGGCTTGCCCGGATACAATGTTAACTACCTCGTCTGGTATACAGGAGGTTTTCGGTTAGATCCCAACCCTGACACCTGTATATTTGGAGTTTGCATGTTCTCTCCGTGGTCAAGTGGATTTTTATTCTGGTCCTCTAGATTTTCCCTACACATTTATAAACAGGCATTTAGAGTAGTTGGCTGCTATAAATTTCCACATAAGGCACGTTGTTGACCTATCATTTGTGGCCAGGTCACTTCTAAAAAACAGAGCTATGTTACTCAGTGAGATGGTTGAGATACAAGTGATGAGCCTGTGTGTGAGTGGTTGAGTGAGTGAGTGGTTAAATTAATGATTGAATGACTGATTGGTTGAGTGAGTGGCTGAGTGAGTGAGTGAATGGTTGAGTGAGTGGCTGAATTAGTGGTTGAGTGAGGGAGTGGTTGATGGAGCGATTGGTTCAATGAGCGAGCGAGTGTTTGAGTGAGCGAGTGAGTGGTTCAGTGAGTGAGTGGTTGAGTTAGTGAATGGGTGGCTGAATAACTGAGTTATTGAGTGAGTGGTTGAGTGAATTAGTGAGTGGTTGAATGAGTATTTGAATGAGTGAGTGAGCGAATGAGTTAGTGTTTGAGCGCATGAGTGTGTGGTTGAGTGAGTGAATAAGTGAGCAGTTGCGTGAGTGTCTGAGTGAATGAGTGGTTGAGTGGGTGGTTGAGTTAATGACCGAGTGAGTGATTGATTGGTTGAGTGAGTGAATGGTTGAGTGAGTGAGTAGTTGAGCAAGTGGTTTAAATTTCGATTTAAAGCTTTCGTGACTGCAGGGATTCATCTTCTTGGTTCTTTCGGTAAAGTCACGTAGAATGGAAATAATAAAATAATACAAATAAAACATAATCAAATAATTCTCACGACGTTTCGGCCACAACACAAGCAGCCGTCCTCAGGTGAAGAACAGGTCTGTCAAGGAGACAGAGTCTGAATGACAACCCCAGGCTTGGAGCGTCTTTTTTAAGCTGGGATGGAGGGGGGGAGAGTGCCTTGACAAAATAATTTGCGAGAGAATAATAAGAGAATAAAGTTTAACTGGAAGCATATTACTGCAGATACATATTATTAACATTCCTTCTCTTTATTAATGCTACCACTACCCCCTCCCTTTGATGCTGCTAATCCTGCATAATGCACGGGCATAATGACTTTAAACCCCTCGCCAAACCTCCTACGCATTTCACAAGTAGTACTGATCGCATATCTGCATTTCCCATAAATATGCTAAATTCCTCTTGATATGCAAATTATTTTGTCAAGGCGCTCTCCCCCCCCTCCATCCCAGCTTAAAAAAGACGCTCCAAGCCTGGGGTTGTCATTCAGACTCTGTCTCCTTGACAGACCTGTTCTTCACCTGAGGACGGCTGATTGCGTTGTGGCCGAAACGTCGTGAGAATTATTTGATTATGTTTTATTTGTATTATTTTATTATTTCCATTCTACGTGACTTTACCGAAAGAACCAAGAAGACGAGTGGTTTAAGTTAGTGGTTGAGTGAGTGAGTGGCTGAATGAGTGAGTGGCTGAGTGAGTGAGTAAGTGGTTGAGTGAGTGGTTCAAGTTAGTAGTTGAGTGAGTGAGTGGCTGTATGAGTGAGTGGCTGTATGAGCGAGTGACTGAGTGAGCGAGTGACTGAGTGAGTGAGTGGCCGGCGCGCACCTTGGCTGCGTTGTCCAGGGTGTCCCGCTGGTGCCGCCCCACTGTGTTGCTGTACTCCGTCAGGGTGAGAGCGGCGGTGCCGCGCAAGCAGCTGCTCCAGCGACTACGCCATCTTGCCCAGCCCCTCCTGGCGAGCACGCAGCATGCCCTGGAGCTCCCGTCACATGGTGCTGGCAATCTGAGACACCCGCCTGTAGCACACACGCGATATGGGAATGGATTAGGGCAGGGGTCGGCAACCAAAATAACAAGAAGAGCCATTTCTTTCCAATTCGGTACAAAATTCAGTATTTCAAGAGCCGCAATGCATCTGAGTACATACTGTACATACGTACATATCGTCAAGAAGCAGCCCGTAAAGAGCCGCATGCGGCTCCGGAGCCGTAGGTTGCCGACCCCTGGATTAGGGTGACCCGGGTGACGAGATGTTCACTGCTTTGCCCGGTATTCAGGATGTTGTAGGTTTGATCCAAACCCTGATGCTTACATATGAGGAGTTGCGTGAATTTTTCTTCGGATCCTCTGGTTTTGCCCTCCACATTTATAAATATGCATTGACAGTATTTGGCTTATTTACATTTCATCGTGATAAGCCACTTCATTGGGCTATCATTTGTCGCAAGGCAATTTCTGAAAAAAAGCTATATAGCTCAGTGGGCCTTACCTGGTAAAATAAAATAGGCGAGTGGGTAGGTGAGTGAGTGGATAGGGAAGTGGGTATGTTAGTGGAAAGGTCAGCGAGTGGGTAGATGAGCGAGTAGGTAGGTGGTTGAGTGAGTGAGTGGTTGAGTTAATAATTGAGTGAGTGATTGTTTGAGTGAGTGGCTGAGTGAGTGAGTGGTTGAGTGATTGAGTGAGTGGTTGAGTGAGTGGTTGAATGAGTGGTTGAGTGAGAGAATAACTGAGTGAGTGAGCGGCTGAGTGGTTGAGTGAGTCATTGAGCGATTGTGTGGCTGAGTGAGTGAATGGCTGAATAAGTGGCTGAGTGAGTGAGAGCGTGATGGATGAGTGAGAGAGTGATGGTTGAATGAGTGAGAGAGTGATGGTTGAGTGGTTGAGTAAGTAATTGAGTGAGTGGTTGAGTGAGTGAGTGGGTGGGTGGGTGGTTGAATGATTGGTTGAGTGAGTGAATAGCTGTGTGAGTGAGCGGCTGAGTGGTTGAGCGAGTCGTTGAGTGAGTCTGTGGCTGAATGAGTTTGTGGCTGAGTGAGTGAATGGCTGAATGAATCACAGCTATGATAAAAATGGACATCAGCATATAAGTGGTCTTGTTTTCACTCACTAAATGAAGTTAAAAATAAAATTGTACACTCACAGGATCGAGTAAAAGATGACAGCGAATCGGAGTAAACTGAATCGCGGCAATGATGAAATTTTGCATTAGCATAATATTGATTTATAAGTCTACAAAAGGACTTTTTGCAGAGCGATTTAACACAAAAGTCTGATAGACTACATGAAAAAATTAAGATAAAAAGTACATACAAATCGGGCATCAATACCGTTGCTTTGTATGATCTGTGAAACGCCGAGGATTTTAGATTAAATCGCACATTTTGAGCTTGCTGCCGGATCGACTGAGTGGAATCAATACAATTAGTCTCGATTCATGATCAACAAAGACCATATATGGGAAAATCTCTGATCGGTGATTTTGATTGCATCGTATTGCAGCGCCCCTTTGATGATGTTATAAAGCACATGCCCCAACAGTATGTTAAAGACTTACTTACACATATTTGGACCATCTTATCTGACAGGCACTATTTTACTTTACTTTACCGAGTGTTAACATCCCCAGTGTTTAACAGTACTCTCTTCATTGTTCAGCCAGCACTGGTATAAACATGGGCATTTTCGTTATTTTCTATCATGTGTATCAACAGGTGCTTGTACACACACATGTCCACGTACACTTGCACCCCACACTCTCTTTTGGCCTCCCCTCCCCCTCTCTGTCCAATGCGTTGGCGTGTGCAGCAGTAGTTGCTTGCGCACAACCACGTCCACGCCGCCGACTCTCGTGTACCACGTCGTGCATTCTTTTGGGCCCGCCCCCCCTCCCTCTCCCGATGCGTTCTACATGGCACGTCGTGCCGTCTTTGAGCCCCGCCCCCCTCCCTCCCGATACGTTCCATTCATTGGCTACCACATTCTGATGAGCTCCCCCCCCCTCTCCTCCCCCCTCAACTTGCTTTTAAGGGATTACATCTTGAATCATTGCCTCACTTGATGCAGCAAATCTGGCTGTGACGGTCTCACCTGATGACGGAGACTTGTGTTGCCTCCAAAACGTCGTGATTTTTATTGTTTTATTTTTATTAATTTCAACTTTTTTACCTACGTGACTTTACCGAAAAAACTAAGAGTATGAATCCTTGCAGTCACGAAAGCTTCAAATCTAGAAATAGTATGTTAAAGGCTACATGGGGATCTTTGTGTGCGAGTAGCTCACAGATCCTTGAGAGATCTGGACACTGTCCGATCATCAGCAAGCTCCTCAGGCAGGCGAGACTGCGTTGGCTGTTGTCTGTGCATTATGAGGTGATAAATATCCCACGCAGAGGAGTCTGCTTACAGGACAGATAAGAGGTTCTTCACTGACCGTGCCCCGTGTCACCTGAACGTTAAATGGGGTCTCAGTAATTCAGTGTCCATCGCTGAATCATCTTTCACCATCACCACGCGTCCATTAAGGCCAATGCGACGAGGCCATAAATAGACGCCGCGTTATAACGGGGGGGGGGGGGGGGGGGGAGCAGGACAAACGTCGTACTACGTGACATCACAACACCCTGCACACAGCCATAGTGGCTGATTAGGGTGCGCATCGTTCACGAATATGTGGTTTAAGTGGTTGAGAGTAGATTTTGGTGTAAATTGATCACGATGCATTGCGTAGCCTGCATTTAAAATTTAATGCGTGGGTGTGTGAGCAGATATGAGTGGGTGAGTGCGTCAGTAAGCTGGTAGGTGAGTATGTGGGTGGATGGAGTGGCTGGGCGGGCACGGCATGGGCTGGAGTGGAGTGGACTGATGCGGTACGGAAGGATGTGGAGCTGAGTGGGCTTTGCCGACGACTGGTACCAGCGGTGTCGGGATCGGCCTCTGCGGGGGAGGCTCGTGAAGGACGCTTCTACTGGGCAGTTGGAGACAGTCGGCCTCCAACAACAACGGAGGAGTGACGCTCACAACAACGAGCGGAATACCGGATAATAAATATGCAGCAATTTGGCTCAGTACGGGGTACAGGTGGTGCATCTGCCAGTCATTTCAGTCAGCCAACCCATGGCACCTGGGTCTGTTCCAGGACCTCTGGTCAGCGAGCCTTTGACACTTCACGTGGCTTCAAAGTGCACATGGCCTGGCACAGGTGCCGTGGTGATGTCACTGTCACTTATTGGGGAATGGCGACGGTCGATAACGCAGCGGTGGTTGTGAGCAATGCCATTTTGAGGTGGGGGGGGGCGCCAACCCTGACCATCTGTGAACATCACGTCGCCTCACAGCCACCACAGTGGCCACAGGGAGTTCTATATGGGTGCGAGGGGCTGGTAACCCCCCTCCACCTTCAACTAAATCACTACACATTTACATGCGAGCCCTTGGGTCTCTCTGCGAGTCGATGGATCTGTGTGGTGAGTCTATGGGTCTCTGTGAGAGTCCGTGGGTCTCTGTGAGGCGAGTCTGTAGCGTGGAAACACGTATGCACACACCGCCTGTCCACTTACCTGCAGTTACGGCCAGAGGTCTGTAGGCGGGGCCAGCCTGTACAAGGGGATAGAGAGAGAGCCTGGATTCCCCTCCCCTACCCTAGGTGAGGGGCTGGGGGGGCGTTCCAGGATCCACTGGAAGATTCCAGAAAGGGGGCGATACTGGGGACGGAGAGTCCCTGCGGTTCTCTGGTCGGTTCGAGGCAGTGCTACGAAGACGAAGACTAGCTAGGCTAGGATCCTGGAACCCGGGACCCGACATCCTTGTAAGGGCCGGGGCCGAGCGCGGACCAGTGGCCCGGACCAGTGGCCCGGACCCGTACCTTGGCTGGGTCAGGTCAGAGTAGCCTCCCTAGCTAGGACCCTGGGACCCCAAGCCCGACGTCCTTGTAAGGGCCGGGCCGAGCTTGGACCAGTGGTCGGGACCCGTACCTTGGCTGGATTGGGTCAGTTAGCCTTCCCTAGGGCACAGATAGCCGGAGGGCTGAGAGCCAGATTACCCAGTGCGAGTGCACACTAGACCAGATGCTGTACCTCCCGAGATAGTGGGATTTAAGGGAGTTCTGTATTGTAGTTTACAAGAAACCGTGTTGCCTCTAACAGACGTCCCCAGTCTCCGTGGAACCCACTACAAGTCTATGTGTCTCTGTTTTTGTGAGTCTATAGGGCTCTGTGCGAGTCTGCTTGAGTTGGTGGTTCTCTGTGTGATGAGTCTTTGCGTTTTTGTATGACTCTATGTGTGTCTAGGTGGTGATTCTATGGGTCTCTGTTTGGTGAGTCTATGGGTCTCTCTGTGAGTCTATAGGTGCAAGTACATGGATCTCTCTGCGAGTCTGTGGGTCTCTGTGGGGTGAGTCTATGCGTCTCTGTCTGATGAGTCTATGGGTCTATGTGGTGAGTCTGTGGGTCTCTGTGGTGAGTCTATGTGTTTGTGTGGTGAGTCCATAGACCTCTGCGAGTCTTACTCTGCGAGTCTGTGGGTGTGTTTGAGTCTGTGTCTCTGTTTGGTGAATCTATAGGGCTCTGTTTGAGTCTGTGGATCTCTGTCTGATGAGTCTATGGGTCTCTGTGGCGAGTCTATGGTTCTCTGTGCAAGTCTGAGGGTCTGTGCATGGTGAGTGTATAGGTCTATGTGTGATGACTCTATGGGTCTCTATGTGATGGATATATGTGGTGCACATATCCTGGCACAAGTGCCGTGGTGTCGTCACCACCACTTAGTGGAGAATGCTCCTCCCCCTGCTCCTGCTTGTTGTTGTGCTCGGGAAGGAGAGACAAAACTAGACTAAAATCTCAACGATTTTCATTTTACCAAGTAAGGTCAACTGAGCTAAACATCTAATTTTATTACACGCTTTTATTTAACTGACTCTGTTGTTGTCGTATCCTCAAATCTTGTAACTCAATTTTAACCCACTTCCCAATGTGGTATCGACTGCAAACTTGGTATACTTATGTCATACTGATGACAAAACTAGATTCTATCAAAAAAAGTATTTTTAAACATTCATTTTTATATGTTATGATTCGGCTTGGGTCTAATTGTCCACGCTCAACTGACGTTGGCTGTAAATCACCACGGTCCCTTATGTTATCGCAAGCCTCGGGGCCACTTCCTGGAGTCGTGGAGTTCTGCCATTACTCGTACGGTACATTTCATTAAAGCGAGTTAAAAAAAAAAGTACTTTTAAATATTACTTATTCAGAAGCGACTTGGCACCAATGATAGCTCAACGAAGTGGTGCATCATCACGTGTAAATTACAGCAGCCAAATACTTTAAACGAATATTCATATTCTTGGTTCTTTCGGTAAAGTCAAGTAAATAGAAAAAAATATATATTAATAAAATAAATATAATAAATTGCTTTTATTATTTCAATATATCTCATTTTGTATTTTTATAAAAAAATATTTTAAAAAAATATTTATTGTTTTCTATTTACGTGACTTTACCGAAAGAACCAAGAATATGAATTCCTGCAGTCAAGTCAAAACTTTAAACGAATGTTTCTAAATGTGGAGGGAAGACCCGGAGGACCCGGAGAAAAATCCACGCAACCACGGGGAGAGACACAGACACGCAAACTCCAAATATACAGCAGGCATCAAGGTCGGGATCGAACCCAAACTCCTGTATACCAGGCGAGGTAGTTAGGGGGGAAAGCAGAGACAGCGAGAGGGGGGAGAATTAGTCAAACTCACACTCAATATTACTCACTAACCATGATACACTCACCATGATACCATCATACTCACGCATTCACCATCTTACTGACACACAAGCCCACACACATCAACAGTCGCCATTCACCACTATGTGGTGGTGACGTCACCACAATAACTCAGGTGCCATGGGTTGACTGCTCTGCCTGGCTCGGTACAAGAGGAGGGCTAGACCCTGGTGCTATGGGTTAACTCGTGTGCCACCACCTGCACAACCACCACAACAACCACACAATTAGAATCACAACAATAACCACGACCAACAAGTGTAACCACAACTATAATGTAACCACAACTATAATGTAACCACAACTATAATGTAACCACAACTATAATCCCCATCAGCCACACGGCCGTCTGGGAGTGCCTCTCAGCAGCAGCAGCAGCAGCAAGGCTGAGCTCTGCTTGAAGCTGCGCCGCGAACTCCGCAGAACGTGACGGCTGTGGGCCAGGCGCCTCCTCTGTCTCCCCCCACCGCCGCCGCCACTGCTAATGTGG